CCGCGCAGTGTAATCTCTGCCCCTACCAGTCCAATGGAACCACTGACTTCTAACAGGCACTTTATAATCTTCATTGTACTTGATGATTCCTAGCATTCCGTTTTTAATTGGGTTCTACTTCTTGAAACTCTGCAAGTCGGCCTGAAAAGTTTTGCTTTCTCTTTCCTCCCAGCCTCTCTGGCCACTCCCCTTCAGCATCCTTATATCTGTCTTTGTCTTGGTTTGTCCTGAAAATTTCAATATTCTTCAGGACTTATTTTGAGCCCTTTTCTCTTCTCTTTCTATGCAGTTCCTCTGAGCACTTCTGTGCTTACCCACACCTTCAACTACTCTCCATATAGTAGGCACTCAGAATTCTGCCTCTCCAGCCTCCACATCCCTTGTGATGCTCCGAGACCTCATATCCAACTGCCTCCTAGAAAGCCCCAACTCACCCAGGATATGCCCTACAAGCAATGTAATCACACGTCCCAACCTGAATTCATCAGCTGCCCCTCAGACCTGCTTCACTCTTCCCTCTCACTACGCAAAAACCTGGTAGCCTCTCCAGCATCCTCACTCTCCCATTCCTGTTACATTCAAACAGTCGCAAAGACCACCCAATTTTCCCTCCTCCTAAATATTCTTCCTAAACATTCTCATTTCTAAGTATCCCCACTACTTCCAGCCTCGTCTTGCTCTCAGGTTCCCATTATCCATACTAATGCACTGTCTGTTTGGGCCTCCAGTCTTGCCTCCCCACCTGGCACCTCGCTCCACCCCCAATCTACCCAGCACACTGCTTTCACGGTGACCTTTCATGTCGCTCACAATGCTGCACGTGGCAGGAGGTGTGCCCTGACTCAGCTATCTGGTTTCATCTCCTTTCACTCCTGACTTTGCCCTTCACACTCTAATATAACTGACCTATATCTAGCTCCCTGAACACACCAGGCCCTCATAATGCCATACAACTATTCATGCTATTAGCCCTGTGCGGAAATGCTTTTGCTGCTTGTCAATCTGCCCACTTCTACTCAGTTTTCAAGATTCAGCTCAAACATAACCACTGCTAAAATCCTCCCCTGGCATTTCCATCAGGGATCAAGAGCTCCTGCTAGCCTTCCTTTGCACTTATATCTTCATTAGGGCAAATAGCACACAATATTTGAACTGTTGGTCAAGATGTCTATTGTCCTACTAGACTATAAGATCCTTGATCAAGGACAGTGACTTCATCTTTATATCCTCAAGTTCAATGCATACAGCATATAGTTCAAAAGAAAAAAGGAATTAATGAACTATAGGCCAATGAAAGGACAAGAAGATCAACTGGACTTCAAGTACAGAAGAAGTCCAGATCTTAAGGAGGTACAGACATCTATTATTAAGTCCCACCTATTAAAAAAATAGAAATAAATGATTATTCAGGTATTATCAAGGTTAAAAAAAAGAGAACTTATCAATAGACTAAGCAGGCAATAAGGAGGTAAGAATCTCCAATAGAGCAGCCAACAAAAGATCAACTGAAAGGTCTGAGATAAAGGTGGTTCTTTCTACCAGTCAAGTAATTAATTCACAGGCCTAAGTCCATGGACTGATCTAAAGATTGGCAACTTCCTCTGTCAGTTCACCACTCCTCCCCTTTGTCATTATTCTCCATAGCCTCTTCCCAGCCCCCACTACTAAATCCCAGATTCCAGGGGTAATTTCCCTCTGCTGGAGCCACAGGTCCTACTAGTGGATTGGTCTGAGATATAAGGCAGAGGCTAGGGGATTGGCAATCTTTATTCTTGTGGCCAGGACCTAGAGGAAAGAAATGAAACTACTATTTACTGAAAGTCAGTTTTATACTAGATATTGTGCTACTTTACAAACACTCACTAAATCTCAGAGTAATCATGAGTAATTATCCTATTTTACAGATGAAGAATTTGTACCCAAGATCACAGCTAAGTAATCAGAGCCTACCTGAAAACCCAGAGATAACAGCCTCTAGAGTATTTCCATACTCCTGACTACCTCAAAATGAAGAGAGATGTGGTCTAGCTATTCTAGGCCAACCTCAGAATATATCACTCTCCAAAACACTATTATAAATGTTGGCTAAAGTCTATAGTGTACCACTAATACATAATGGGCATACAAGTGAGTTAAAATAACTTTGGTGGGGCACCTGGGTGGCTCAGTCGGTTAAGCATCCGACTCTCAATCTCAGCTCAGGTCTTGATCTCAGGGTAGTTTTTTAAAAAAACAAATAATAATAAGTAAAGAAAATAAAATAAAATAGGTTTGGGGCCCTGATCTGGAAATCTAAATGCTATTTGTTATTTTATTCCTATAAGTACACTGTTAACATTACAAACAAAAATGGACTTGAAAATGAACTTCTGGAATACAATGGGCTCTTTAGCAAGGCTTTTCTTTAAGAATATTTTTCTTAGACAAAAAGTCACCAAGGATAGAAACTATTTTACCTTGTTAACTTGTAAGAACAATGACACTAGAAGACACCTGTGAGAGCATGCTTATCTGACCAGGTGCTCATTTACAGTGTGCTGTCATTTGAATAAAACATTACACTAAACCCTACAGACCAGAGCTTATGACAGAATGCCACAAACTACAGCAGTACAGCTGATATGCCTCTAATCTACTGACAAAATGTACTCCTTGCAAAGTGAAACCAGATGTCTGGGGTAAAAATCTGATGTCTGTGGACTTGTCTTCCTTGGCTTCCAGAGCTGTATTAGATACACTAAATACACAGCTTAACTGTATATTAAACCCACAACTTGGCAAAATCATGACAGTCTGGACATGAAGCATCAGCATTTTTATTGTAATTCTTATAAACCAAAGACATTTCTGAAATAGAAATCCTAAATTTAAGCCCTCAGCTAAATGTGGTACTATGTCTTTCCCACGTTAAGAACAGTGTCAGAGCTTTTTAAACACATTTATAGAAACTCTTTCCCTTCATTTTTCAAGCTGACACTTTTTAGACATGGCTGTGGAATGATTTCATGGTGGGTGGACAGGATTCAAACCACATCAGGTGTCAGTCTTTGTCTCAGAAATTCTAGGATCAGATTTAACAGGTGATCACTGTGAAAATGCTGCAAACACCCACCTCAGGAACTAAGTATGAGATACCCTGCTTCAGTTGCAAAGAAGATCATTAAGAGTGGATTGGTGACCAGATAAAAAGGGAGGGAAATTAACAGTACCTATATGCCAGATGCTGTTTTTTGCACACTTTTTAATACACTCATTGTTCTGTTTTGACAGGTGAGAAATTAGGGAGCAAAATTTTAAGTGGCACAAAGTGGCAGAGTTAATGAGGTAAGAGCCAGGACTCGAGCCCATGTCGAAAAGACTCTAAAAGACGTGCCACTTCTACATGAGGACTGGGCGTGGAACAAGGAGTGGTGTTACATAGCCAAGAACAGGGAGGTAAAAGACAGAAATTTACAATTTTGCCAAATAGTAACATATAATCATGAAATAAAAAGTTGAAGAAAGAAACACAAATAGTTGAGAGGGTTCCTCTGAGAGTCAGTTCATAAGAGACTCACTTTCTACCTTTTATATCCCTGCAAGACTCATTTTTAAATAACTTTTTTTTAATCTTATATATCCTGGAACTGATTCTCTATCCAGTAACAACACTAAAACAGGACACAAATCACCATGGTCAGTAATCCTTGAAAGTTTATCACTGAAAGTACTAGAAGGCAGAAAAATAGCACTGTCCTCCCACAACACTGTATAGACCTGCACATGACTAAGATCAATAGCACAGGGAAGGTCTTGTACCGTAACACTTAAGTATTCCAAAAATCTACAGAAAACAGGTGAAAGGCCTGCTCCAAATGGCCATCTCCAAACCCAGTCTCATCATTTTTACCATCCTACTTATGTATCAGTGTTCCACACTTTGGTGGCAAAAAATAAATATCTACTGAATCAAAGAATGAACCCATCATCAATAAACAACTATTTTCCAGTTTTTCATAAATTATATGTTTATCTATCACTTGAGTCCAATTAAGACAGGTTCAGGGCACAGGCAGCCACTGTCAAGTTGCCACAGAGTGCAATTCTAGCTTTCCTTCCTAAGTATCCAAGAATGGTTTGTTACATTCTTGCTTGCGGCTAACCTGAATTTTAGCTAACTTAAAATCTTTTATATGGGACACATAGGATGCATAAGGTATTCCCAACTTTCTGAGAGGGGCTGCGTTTCATTTCACCAGTAAGAAGGTAGGAGTGGTATATTGGAGACGTAATGGAAAATTTGCACTAAAGAACGGTTGAAAGAGATCACGTTGAAAATCACAGCAAACCCCCAAAGGCTTCTGCGCGCTGTTTGGCTACTTTTCAGAAGTGAGTAGAGTATTTGTGAGGGGGTGTCAAAGTGAAAGTCAAGAGTAAAAGACCCAGTCTGGTAATGTCACCCCCCACACCAAAGAACAAAAACAAACAAAAAAAACCTTCCTCTATGAGCTTGTGAGAAGATCCCAAAAGAATTTCAACAGTTACCATATTGCTAATTAACTTTACCCTTTGGCGTCCTAAAGAATTTTTACAGGAGTCTCTTTTTTTAAAAGGTAAAGATCTGTGGGTGGGGTTCCTGTCAATAATCAAGCAGGACCATGATTCTTCAATACAGTCTCCGGGATTAATCACAGCTTAGAGGAAGACATAGACGAGGCAGACAACTGCAAGACCCACGTTCCAAAGACGGGAAAGGTAATGACAGTTTTCTGTCAGGTCAAGTGGCTATAAGGGATCTTTGCCAAGCTGCCAAACTCCCAGCCATCTCTACAGACTCTAGGCCTGAAAAAACTCTTGGGTTTGGAGTCTGTGACCCTTGAAGGTGGGCCTCAGGTTCCTGAGGAAATGCAAGAATCTGGCCCCTAAATCCCCCAGGGGCAGTTCTGGATCTAGATTTTTCTCTCCCTTGCTCTCTCTTCTATAGCCCTAGCTCCTTCCACCCCTGATCATTCCTTACTTACCCTTTCTCCCGTTCTTCCTCGGTGAGAAGGGGTAAGTGGTTATTTTGTGCCCTCGCCCAATTTGGCCAAAACCCTAAAAGTAAAAATGACAGAGACAGGTGCTTTAAAATCCTGATGTTCCAGCCTCAGGAACTCCCACCACATGCCCAACAGTTCAAAGCAGAGGACAGCGCGTCCCCACAGCGCTCCCTCACGGGCAGGGCTTGGAGCCGGAGTTGTCCCCTAGGAGGGGGACGAGGAGAGGGCGAAAACTAGGGGTGCCCACTTGGCGGGGAAGAGCGAACCGCCTCCCGACTAGGCGTCGCCGCGGTTAGGCGCCGGTTTGCAACCACAGTTAGCCGGAGAAGTAGGCGGCAGGGCTGGCCGCCGCGCGGGGCCTCAGATAAACACGCGCACGCACACATGCTCGCGACACCGCAGGACTCGCGGCCGAGCAGCCCTCAACCTCCCAGCAATTCCCGCCCCGCCGGGAGCCGACTCCCCCGGAAGGGTCCCAAGCCCAGAGTACCGCCAGGTGTCGGCAGCTGCGCACCCACCCACCCCCTGCAGCCTCTCAGAGCCCCCCGAACCGCCGCCGGGCTCCCGCCCTCCGCACCCGCTGCGCAGCTCAGCCCAGGGGAAGTCCCCACGCTAGCCCCGCCCTCCGCCAGTGGAAAGCTCCGCCTCCACTCCCGGGCGCGCGGCAGCCGCGCGAAGCTCCGCCCACGGCGGAAAGCCGGCACCGCCCTCCTCCCCCCCGGCGACCGCCTGGGTTAGGCCTAAAACCCGTCGTGGATTTGCAACGGATCAAAAGTAACACTCATTCAGCAAGCAATAACTGAGCCCTTACTCTAAAGTCTGCACCGTACTAATGACTGAGAGGACAAGAGAGAGCTGAAACTGTGAAAATGTGTCTTCAGCTCCTCCCCTTGTTATAGAGGTCAGGAAACGGAGACCCCAGCAGTTGCTTGGAGTGCACAATTATAGTGGCAAAGAGCCTTTCCAGTACTCCCCGCTCTGGACTCCGTTATTGCGTTTTTTCTTCTAAGGTGTACACAGGAAAATGATTTCAATTTTGCTTTCTCTAGGCAAGCCAAAAGGAATAATCCAGAACACGGAGTTTACTTTGGAAAAGCTGGGATTTCATACCTAAGCTTTTGTCTTCAAATGGTACAAGCTACCTAAAAGTTAACTAACATACAAAAAGTGTTGCTAAATCTGACTGAATTTAGTCACTAAGATTCATCAAATGTGCTTAAGAAGCTGAAGTCACCTGGAAAGGCTATAGTATAGTGTCTGATGCCAACTATGTGCCATTCTGGAAAAGGTAAAACTGTGGAGACAGTAAAAAGATTTGTGTTTGCCAGTGGTTGAGGGGCTGAGGGGAGGGAAGAATAGGTGGAGCACAGATTTTTGTGGCAGTGAAAATATTCTCTATGATACTATCAGGGTGATACATAGCATTATACATTTGTCAGACCCCACAGAATGTACAATACCAAGAGGGAACAGTAACTATACACTATAGACTCTGGGTAACAATGATGTGTCAATGTAGGTTCATCGATTGTAACAAATATACCACTTTGGTGCTGGGATATTGATAGTTGAGGAAGCTGTGCAAATATGGGGTCAGGGAATATATTGGAACTCTATATTCTCTGCTCCATTTTTCTGTAAAACTGCTCTAAAACATAGTCGTTTAAAGAATGAAGCTGGGGTAAATCCTCAGAACATCCCATTTTCTTCAAATCCATCAATTAAATTCTAAACTGAATATTTGACTTTATCTGTGGAGTTGAGATATAATGATTTGTCTTCTTATATTCGAACATCCCTCCATGTGGCATTAATGTCATCAGAGAGAAAATGAATCATATATGTATTCCTCACTAAGGAACAAAATTAAAGTATGGCTAGACATGTCTAATATTCAAGGAGATATCTAAGCAAGTCTAACCTGAAATAATTAAATTTACAAATTCTATGATATATTTGTATTTCAAATCTATTTCTATTCATACATACTTACAATTAGCAAACAGTCCAAGATATCATAGAGGTTTTTAAACATTTTGGTCTCAAGATCTCTTTACATTTTTAAAAATGAGAATTTTAAAGAGCTTTTGTTGGGCACCTGAGTGGCTCAGTTGGTTAAGCGTCTGCCTTCTGCTCAGGTCATGATCCCAGAGTCCTGGGATCGAGTCCCACATCGGGCTCCCTGCTCCTTGGGGGCCTGCTTCTCCCTCTGCCTCTCTCTCTCTCTCTCTCTCTGTCTCTCATGAATAAATAAATAAAATCTTTTAAAAAAATAAAATAAAGAGCTTTTGTTTATATGGGTTATATATGTCTATATTTACTGTATTAAAAATTAAGATAGAAAAATTTTAGATATGTGTTTAATTCATTTTTAGAATAATAGACCCATTACATGTTACTATAATGAACATTTTTTGGATAATGACTATATTTTTTAAAAAAACTCAGAAAAAAATAGACTTTTCTACATTTTTTGCAAATCTCTTTACTATCAGGCTTAAGAGAAACAGGTGAATTCCCATATTCTGCTTCTGCATTCAATCTGTTACGATATGTTGTTACAGCTAGGATATTATGAAGAAAAGCAGCCCTTAGTCAAATTTGTAGTTGAAAAAGGGAAGACCTTGCAAACCCCCTAAAAAGAGTCTCAGTAACCCCTAGGGTCCTCCAACCTTACTTTGAGAATTGCTGCCAAATAGCATTTTGGATTCATTTAATTCAATATTATGCATTCCCACACCAGAGTCCTCTAACACTTGAAATTATAGCCCTTCACTTATTCCAAGCTAAAACTCAAATTTGACAGCTCTTATCAAACCATCACCTTTCTGAAAGTCTTTTCAAAGCTTTTACTATAGCAACTCTGATGAAACTGATATTCTTACTTGAATACATATGAAAACATTTGAGATTTCATTTATATCCTTCATTTCAAACTTTCTGGAAAATTTTGAATATAAATTGTGCCACCTGGAAAAATGAAACATTGCTATACAGTTATTATTCCAATTTTACATATACTTATAATGAAATGTGTGCATTTCCTTTTATATAAATAATTTGAAAGTGAGCTAAAAAATATATAAAACAAGCAATTATAGTTTTATTTATTATCTAAACAAATACTAGGTTCTAAAGTTACCTCCTTGAAGTAAAATTTTAGATATATAAGCTTTCATTTTTACTACAAATAAAATAATGTAAGCAACTCATTCTGAGTTTTTAAATATAATTTCCAACTAAAAGAAACTGGAGAATAAGAAACCACCTGCCCAGGTCTGGGGCAGGATATATAGATGATAAGTATGAAATATCTTGTGCCACAAAGAAGAAATTCATTTATAACAAATAAGAGTGTCAAAAGGTCACAAACACCAAAACTACAGAATCCCTTTGGCCAAAGACGGGACAATTTGAACACCAACAAAAATAATGAATGCAATCGTTTGAAACACATTGAATATATAAAATCCAAGAGACCTTAATGATACTCCAAAGGTGAGAAACCAAAACCAAAACAAACAAACAAAAACAATTGGACACTTTTGCAAGCAACTAGGGCACTAACTCCATATTCTATAGAAATGAAAACAAAGGAAAAGAATGAGAACGCCTATTGCCTTTCCTGTTTGAACTGTATTACAGAAAATCAAATGGCTTTTGAGGAGAAGGTGTTTCTTATAATAAATGTGAAAGAAAGAAGAGAATTGGAAAATTGCAATTCAGCAATCCTTTGTGAAGTAAATGATTCAGGCAACAATCGTCAGTGGATGAAACCATTACATGAAAAGGTCAGTGATATACTTTACAATGGAAATCAAGGTGTTCACTACTTCTGTCTGATAGTCTAAGTAGCGCTACTGATGAGACTCCAGACACTGTGTGCCTTTTTATCTGACACCATCTGAAGCCCTCAGCACCCCCTTTCTTGCAAACAAAACAAAACAAAATAAAAAATGGAATCTAGGGGCGCCTGGGTGGCTCAGTTGGTTAAGCGACTGCCTTCGGCTCAGGTCATGATCCTGGAGTCCCGGGATCGAGTCCCGCATCGGGCTCCCTGCTCAGCAGAGTCTGCTTCTCCCTCGGACCCTCCCCCCTCTCATGCTCTCTCTCTCTATCTCATTCTCTCTCTCAAATAAATAAATAAAATCTTTAAAAAAATGGAATCTAAGCAAGCCTTAAAACTGACTTCCTACTCACAGGCTTACAGGAAACATGAGGGTTAGAGGAACAAGTTAAATGACACCACGAAGAAAGTAACAGATAAATCTAGAGTGTAAGACAGTCTGTAAAATAAATGACATTGTCTTCACAGCAAGTTAATTATGGGGTCAAAAAGGAGAGGGAAAGGATGAGGAGAAGCTCTAGATTAAAGTTAGGTAGCAACCAAATGTACAGTATGAAACTTGTCTGGGTCCTGTTTCAAACATCACTGCAGTAAAAAGGCTTGTAAGACAGTCAGGGACATTTGACCATAGACTGTTGTTAGACAATGTCAAAGAAATACTGTTTTTGTTTTTGTTTTTTTAGGTATGATAATGGCATTGTGTTTATGTAAGAAAATGTCCATCATCTTTGCAGAAACATTCTGAAGTATGGTGAAGTGAAATGACATACTCTCTGGGACTTGCTTTAAAATACTTTTAACAAGAAAAAGAAAGGAGGGAAGAAAGAAAGAGAGGAAGGGAGGGAGGGAGGAAGGAAAGAAAAGAAGGAAGAAGAAGGGATAGATGACATAAATGTGACAAAACTGGGTAATTGAATCTGGTGATGAATATAGAGGATTTCATTGGACTTTTCCTCAGCTTTCATATATGTTTCAAATGTTTCATAATACAAATTTAAAACTAAATGTTACTGCCTTTGCCCAGATTTCCTAGAAAACAGTGCCTGAGAGAAAGTGTACATACTAAAATTTTGTAGGGTGTGGAGGGGCTGGTCCTAGAAAAGCAAGAGTTCCTGCCTCCTGAGTGAGGCAGGAACAGGAAGAAGGAAAACCTATGTGGTATATTACAAACTGGTTATAGCTTCACAGTACAGTTGACTATTGACAACTAGTGGGTTGGAGTCACCAACCCCCACTCAGTCAAAACTCCACGTAATTTTTGACTCTGAAAACGTAACTACTAATAGCCTATTGTTGACCAAAAGCCTTACCAATAAACAGCAGATGAACACAAATTTTGTATATGTATTATATACTGTATTCTTATAATAAAGTAAGCTAGAGAAAAGAAAATGTTAAGAAAATAATAAGGAAGAGAAAATATATTTACAGCACTGTATTTCTCAAAAAAAAAATCTGCTTATAAGTAGATCTGCAAAGTTC